CCCTTGTTAGCTTATCAATCTCCTCGCAATCATTGCGAAGCTGCTCTTTCAAACTAATGTCTCCATCATCATGCTCTATTGACAGAACAAATACAGCAAGCAAAGCATGCATAAATTATACTAACCAGCAAAGGGTGTCCAAAGAACCATGAAATATATTTAGCAGTGCCAGTGTCCAAAAGAACTACTTGGAACCTATCAACAATTGAAGAAATCAACAAGAAACATACAAAAATAAATTTAGCAGAGCAAATTGGGAAGTTGGCCTGGTCTCTTGCAGTAACTCGAGTGCTTGGACTATATTCTTCACTCTACAAGTTTTTATTATGTCATTTTTAAGCAGCTTTATCAAGATGTCTTAAAATCATGGTCTTCCTTATATAAACAGAGTAGATTATATGACTTCGGAACCTCCAAATGTATGAGAAAACTCAAACAGAATACAGAAAACAGTACATATCAACTCTAACCAAAAGGAATATCTTAATTAATTCAGCTATGGAATATGAAGTGGGACCTTTTTTATCGACAAATTTCTGCAAAATCTCCAGGAGCATTCCACTTAGTAGAAGCAAGTTTGGTCAACTCTAAAACCGCTTCTTTTCGCTCAGACTACTTAGAAGCTTTCTAAAATACGATACTCAAGCCACCATGAGAAACATAATTGTCTATGTTGCAAAACCACAAAATGCAACAATGATAGTATACTAGAGATAATATATCAGATATTGATAATTACTGGATTACCAAAATTAGGACAATGAATAATGTTCTCAGTTTGTCTCTAGTACTACATGCAATCATTAATACACACATTGATCTTCATAATGCCAAGGCTAGCACTAGACAATTTTATTTTTGTTTTATTTTTTTATAAAACGTAGCTTCTAACTGGTTGCCTTTCGAAAAAAATTCCTTAATTATGGATAACATGTGATCACTTCACGTCGTTGGCATATAAGATTCAGACTTCAAATTCAATAGTCGTGTCACTGTCAAAAGTTGGTGTGCTTACTAAATGACGTAGCGGAAGATTATAGGAAATATGAAAAACCTCACAAATATGAGATAAACTCACGAAAGTTTTTATTCAATTCAATAATGCCTGCCTCGAAGGGCTTACAATGGTTTAAATAGCAAAACCCTAGCAAATTTCGGAAAATAAATAATAAAAATAAAAAAAACGATATTTT